GCGGACTGAAAGGTTCCCAGGTTCGATTCCGGTCAAGGCATGTACTTGGTTGCAGGCACATCCCAGTGGGGGGTGTGCAGGAGGCAGCTGATCGATGCTTCTCTCTCATCGATGTTTCTAACTCTCTATCCCTCTCCCTTCCTCTCTGTAAAAAATCAATAAAATATATTTTTTTTAAAAAGTTTGTTTAATTTTTTGCATAATTTTTCAATGAAGGACAAATAAACAACATATCAATTTGAGATCTGTCTGGAGGGTCCTTCATGCTGAAAAAAGGGTCACCATCCACCCTTTAGGAATCATTGGTTAATCACAAAAAGAATTGCAGAGTGAGACAGTGGGTAAATGTCATCATGGCAAATAATAGTTTATAGTTGCATAAATATTGAGCTAAACTTAAATCAAAGGAGACGACCAGGACATTCAGAAAGGAGGGGAAGATTTTGCAGATGGAGCATATTCATTTAGTTCAGGAGAATTCTTTCTTAACCAATTAAAGTGGGTCTTAGAACAATAAAACTGGCTTTGAGCTACTGAATGGAATTACATTTCTAATGGTATGTCACAGGTTCTAAAAACCTTGGCTCACCAAACAATAGAACCTTTCATCCATAGAATGAAAAATGATGTTCTGGCCTAAACCTTGGAAAATTAAATTTCAGTTAACTCCCTTACTACCAAGCTACAGGAGTTGGTCTGGCCTGATAGGAATATCACTCTGCCATAAGTTACTTTTCACTTTAGACCAGGAAGCGTTTTCTAGTCACTCTCAACTATAAAATTGTAGGTAGATGTACTCATCTAATGTATGGAGCCTGATATTCAGATTTGGTTTGCAGTGTGGCCCTGCCTGGCCTTGATACTTTTACAAAAATATCCCAGGTGGGTGATGCTAGTGTGCAGCCAGGATTGAGAGTACCACTGGTCTCCGAGTGGTTTCTGTTTTGCTTGGCATCACCAAACTTCTGGATCCTAAGCCAGTCACTAAATTTGGTTCATCATTTCAAGTACTGATAAAATGTCATATATCATGAAATTTAGAGCTATCTCTCTCATACTTTAATATGCATTCACTGGTATATATTGAATTTAGACCTCCAAATCAAAATTATGGAAAAGTTTCTTGCTGTCTTCAGGCCCAATCCTTTTCTAAATCAATACTGCTTCTGGGGAAAGCAAACCTATCTATTAATGATCACCTTGCAAATGAGAAGTTACATAATAGTATTTTTCTCTTAGGCTAGGTTCTTTTTTAAAAAAAAAAAATCTTTATTGCTGAATGTATTACAGATGTCCCCTTTTTTTGCCCATTGATCCCTTCTAGCCTGCCCCTGTCCCCTGCCCCAGGCCTTTGCACACTATTGTCTGTGTCCATGGGTTATGCATACAAGTTCATAGGTTGATCTCTTCCCACCCACCCACGCCCCCTTGCCTTCCCTCTGAGATTCAACAGTCTATTCCATGCTTCTATGTCTCTGGATCTATTTTGTTCATCAGTTTACTTTCTTTAAGTTGACCTCCCTACCTGTGCCAAGCTTGGGAAATGTCTGTCTGTTCTACCAAGCAGACATTAAGGAATGACTACTTGGCAGTAACATTCATATTAATCACATAATGCAAACTAGAGACCACCCAGATGGGCAGCCAGGGTGGTGATAGATGAGGAAGTCAGGTCAGATGAAGGACAGTAAGAAACTGGAAATGTTCAGCCTTAAGAAGATGAGACTTAGCAGTATAATCACTATTTTCCACTTTCAGGAAACACTTGTAGAAGAGAGCATACTTTTAAAATATATATATTTTTATTGATTTCAGAGAGGAAGGGAGAGGGAGAGAGAGAGATAGCAACATCAATGATGAGAGAGAATCATTGATTGGCTGCCTCCTGCACACCCCCTACAGGGGATCTAGCCCTCAACCTGGGCATGTGACTTGACCAAGAATTGAACTGTGAACTCCTGGTTCATAGGTCAACGCTCAACCACTGACCCACACTGGCTGGGTGAGGATATACATTTTTCTTCTACTGCTGTAGATAACAGAACAGAGATGCAAGGATGAAAGTTGAAGGAAGCTAAATGAAAGATGAATATTAAGAAGAACCTTCTGGTGTCTGTCCATATGTGGAATGGGCTGCCTCCAATCTAGTGAGCAGAACAAGGGGTGGGTCTCGAGTGGATGCTGGGGGAGCACAGATTAAACAAGTTGTACAAAGGGGTCCTAGATAAAAGGAGGATTTTCAATAAATTACCTTCTATCTCAAAGCTTCTATATTTCTAAAAATTATTGATGGGAAATGTTTTATACAAAATTAAAATTCCCATTTAGCTTTGCGATTGGCTTGACATAGTCTGCCAAATCTACCCCCGGAATTTTGAACATGCCAATTTAATGAAGACCACTTCAGCCACTTGAATTTTTTTTCTTTCTTTTTTAAATACTTGGATGATTTTATTTTACTTTAGGTTTTTCTTCTGTATGTCAGGTTGTAGACCTACTCACCTGCCTCACAGCCCAGGTTAATTAGCACCAGGTCTCCCCACCGGCACTTTGTTTATAACTGGCAGCTGTTCTCATCGGGCTAGGACTTGATAATGCGCTGATTCCCTTGTCACACCAGTAGTTCAGTATTTTATGTCACCTGTAATTACAGTCATATATTTATTGAGAGGTGAAGAAATGATGACTTCTAACACACTCTATGTAAAATGAGTAAGATTTTTGAGGCGACTATATGCCAGAAGAAAAATAATTTGCATTTTCCTCCACACGTCAACAAAAGTTCTCAGCTGGCATTTTGTAAGTGAAGGTTTTTAGTGAAAGGAGCTGTATTTCTTTTCGTTGCCAGGGGGAGCACACGATGACAGAAATAAATCTCGTCCCGTTGTGATAACATGTGTTCGTCCTGGAGGGCCTGCTGACAGGTAAGCTCCATCTTTCTGTGTCACTATCCAAACAGATTAATAAAGCTTAGGGACTTTGGCAGAGACGTTGATGGGTTATAAATTTCATAGCATAAGATAGATAGTAACTAAATATGTGAGAATGTGAAAAGTGAATTAGTTTAGGCTGCGGAATCAAAAGAAAGGCTTGACTCTAGATGCCACACGTACTGCCCTGTCTTTGGCAAGTGAGTCAACAGTTCTGAGCTCAGTTTCCTCCTTTGTGGAAGGAAGAGAACAGCTAGCTTTCAAGGTTTTCCATTTTATCGACGATGGTGGTGGTCCGAGTCTTACTGTTAGCAACATCCTTATAATTATTATTAGTCCCTCTGTTGATGATGAGGTATGAAGGCAGGCACTTGAGGGGCATCAGCTCCAATTGCCAATCTCCTGACCTGGAAAGACAGGTGGTGGTGGTCTGAGTCTTATTATTAGCAACATCCTTATCATTATTATTAGTCCCTCTGTTGATGATGAGGTATGTCAGAGGGAAGTAATTTTTAATAAAATGAAGTATTGTTGGTCTCTAGTGCTTTCTTTTCCTGGTTAATTTGACTACCTGAAGGATAGCTCCTTCAGCTTTCATCTCATAAACCTTGGGGGGATCCCAAGTAAAATCACAACTTAGGTATCTCAGGAGATACTTATCTTTGTATTCCTTTCCACAGCAAAAGCGGAGCCCATAATGGTGGGGGAACACAACTCCTGCCATTACATATTGTGGAACGAAAGGTGGGAGAAAAGTGCACTGGTGACCCCTGACCCCACTGTGTTTCAGACCAGGAAAATTGTTTAAAACCTTTCCTTAAGCAATAGAAATGGTGATAGTAATCAGTGCTACTCATGGAGCACTTACCATGTGCCAGAAACTGTGCCAAGTGCTTGGCAGACATTACCTTATTTTATGCTCACAACCACCCATGAAATGAAGTATTTGTATCTACAGTTACAGACGACAAAACTGAGACCCATCATGGTTACTGACTTCCCAGCTAGGACACCGAAGAGCTAGTGTGGGTTTATTTTCCTTCAGTGCTCATACTGTGAGCTCAGATATTTTAAAAAAGTTAATATTTAATATAAAATAAGAGGATGTGAAGACACTGGTTTTTCACTTGTGCTAAAATATATTTGTTTCCAGAGAATAATACAAAGTCAAATTTTCCAGGGAAATGTTGCCTTTTTCCTGTGGGGAAGCATGAGACTTGGTTGGAAAGTTTGTAAGGAGGACATTCTGAGAAAAGGGAAGTGTGTGGAAGGCCGCCTGCCCTGTTTATCAGAATTCTGACTTAGGGGAGACTTGGGGAGTGTCGAAGGCGGCGCCTCTGATTATTCCTTGACCTTTCCAAACAAGTCTGTGCACATGCAGACCCCCTGGTGTTTACTGGAACCCTTATGCTTAATCCCTGGATGCCCTTGCCTAGAGGACAATGTAAACACATGTGTCCTCCCAAGATTACCCACCGTACTGATTGTATCTAAAGATAAAAACTGCAGTAAAAGCCTAACGAGACAGGCAATCGGGGCTGTCTAGTTACGTTAGCCAGACAGTCCCTTAGCCCTCTCTTTCACAGCAAATGTTGTGTTGGAGTAATCCATTCATCCATCGCTCAGGGTCTGCTGGTCAGCCCCGGCATTTTCCCTTCTCATGCCTTTTCGTTTCTTGATTACTACCATTTAGAGCTGGAGTCAACAGAAACATCAGAAGCAGGCTAGTTTGTGTGCAACAAATTACCAAATTAATGTAAGACTAAAGGAAATCTAAGAATTTAAGATAAACATTTAAAGTCAAAACAGAGCATTATATAGCTGAGAGATAGTTAAGAGGTTGTTTTTATTCTTCCCAAATCCTAGACTCGTGCCCCCCGCCCCCCCCCCCCCAATTTGCTTTTCTCATCGCTGTGACCATCCCTGAGGCAGGATGGTTATGATCTGGAAGCCGTGCCCTAGTGGTGTCACTAGGTCCTGAGGGATCTCTCCCAGTGCCCTGAGTGTCTGTGGTCCCAGCAGGGAGAATGGTATTTGCCTGACTTTTCCAGTGAATGTGAAACTGAATCAATTTAACGATCGCCAAATGGCCTTATAAATCAGTAGGAAATTTTATAGACTAGGGAAATTTTTCACCAGCATTCCTGTCCTGCTTGGGTTCACTGGTAATAAATTGAATGGAACTAGCAGGCTTTTATGCTCACCTGGCTTTGGGAAAATAGGTGAATGCTGTTTCCTGGACTCTAATAAATCATCTTCAGACATGTGGGCAAAAATCCAGAAGAGAGAAATGTGCCTTCATTACTCTTGTACCCCAAGAGTTAACTGCGGGTGACTTAGTTACTTGCTAATGTGTAAGTTATTCTCTTATTACTGATTTTCATATTGCAGCAATTTTCTGTTCAGGGCTACCTCTTTACTCTCCTACTGTCACACTTGAGGCTTAAAAGGAAATGCAAATGGAGTAGATGGTAGGGCGTGTATGAAAGAACCATGTTGGCTAAGTGACTATTAATGCTAAGTAAGCCCCGTCATGCTAAATTGCTAGAGACTGTTCCTCTGTTCTCCCTTCAGAGAGGGCACAATTAAACCTGGCGACAGGCTGCTCAGTGTGGATGGAATTCGACTCCTGGGAACCACGCATGCTGAAGCCATGAGTATTCTCAAACAGTGTGGACAAGAAGCAACGCTGCTGATAGAATATGACGTCTCAGTAATGGGTATGTCCCAGTCCTTCGGTTGTGATCCCTAAGCTGTAGTACACGTCATCATCCATCCCCGATAAACTACTTTGTAGAGAGAATGATCTGCTATGTCCTCCTGGCGCAGACAGAATTTCACCAGTACCATAGCATAACTCTGTTTGGGTTCAGGAAGAGGTGAGTGGTTCCTTTCAGCAATTTAGAGTTCTTGTGTCAATAGACTCTATAAGGAGGTCTCATTCTGTCAGCGTGTTTCACCTAGCAATCAGCATTTATATGGGGATTACCCTTTGGCAGGAAAGTAGTTTTGCCTTCCAAAGCACAGAAATAGCATTGTTAACTCAGGGGATATTTTTTTCTTTTACTCCAGAGTAGAAGTTCCCAGTAGGGGATTCCTTTCTTTTTTTGTAATGTCACAATATGAAGCCAGATAATCAGAATTAATGGAAATTGCCATTTCATCATCAGACTTAGGGACAAAGAAAGGAAATGGACATGTAATGTCATTGATTAAAATCAGAAGTTGAGTGCCCTATTCTTTCTTTCAATAGTGATTCCAATAGAAAGTGACTTTATTTCTACCCTCATAACTATAATATAACTGGGAAGATAGTCTCATGTGGCTTTTAAATGTTAAGAGAGGACCAAAGATTTGTGTCATGTTGGCTAAGGCAGAAAACTTATGAGAGAGTCAATTGAAACCCCGAAATTGAAGCTTAAATCGTATTGTAAAGTACTTCTTACAATTATCAGACTTGATTATGTGACCTGACTTTACCCATGAGTTTATGCACAGAAAAAGAAACATATTGTATAACTGCAAACTCCTCTATTTCCCACTCTGTATGATTCATGTAGAACAGTGTTGCTTGAAAGTATTCTTAATCTGCCTCCTAGCATGAAATGTGTTAGGTCTGAGGTTCCCTAAAGGGCTTAAGCTGTGGTTCTCAACCTTCTGGCCCTTTAAATACAGTTCCTCATGTTGTGACCCAACCATAAAATTATTTTCGTTGCTACTTCATAACTGTAATGTTGCTACTGTTATGAATCGTAATGTAAATATCTGATATGCAGGATGGTCTTAGGCGACCCCTGTGAAAGGGTCGTTTGACCACCAAAGGGGTCTCGACCCACAGGTTGAGAACCGCTGGCTTAAAGTGTGAGACCTAAGAAGTTCTTAGCAGGATAAATAGGACGATATGCCCTAAATATGAAGGAACTTTTCTCCCTTCGTTCATTCTTCCTGTATCTTGTCTTCCCTCCCTCTTTCTCTTTTTTTTTTTTGTTATATGGTTTTTAAATTAGATTTTTAGTTAGATGATTTGGCTTCTGTTTTCAATTCTACTGATTTCTAGCTGTAATTTAGACTATGTTACTTATTTCCCCATGCCTTAGTTACCTCATTTGTCAAATAGGGACTAGTAATGCCTATTTTAAAAGGTAGTTGTGAAAACAAAAATAAATTATACAAGTAAATATATTTTAAATGTTGATACAATACATTGTTAACATTAGAAATTGAAGCAGATGTTTGGCATATTTAACTTATTAGTTCAGTCTAAAAGTATTTATTGAGCTTAATGGGAAGTACGAGGAATACAGAATAACAAACCGGTCCTGTCATTATGGAGCTCACGAGTGTTGGGGGAACAGTTAGTAAACTGTAATTTACCAAACAAGCAATCATAAAATGTGATCATTACCTACCGTGAAGGGCATAAATAGGGAATAAGGGCAGGCACAGGTGAGGGTTGGCAGGTTCCAATAATAGGGTAGTCATTGAAGAGGTGACAGGTAAGCTAAAACCTGAAGGCTTAGAAAGAACCAGCTCCTAAACTGAAGATAACAATAGCCTGTTAAGGCCTGCAGTCTACCTCCCCAATGGAGGTGAGCAGCACTTCGGAGAAGATTCCTCCCTGTCTCATTATTGCCAGTTGGGAGTGGATGAGGTGACTCACCTGTCTGCCTTCTCCCCAACCCACACTCACATTCTTAATGATGCTTGACAGTTTTCACACTCTGGAGTTCTCAGATATCCCCCTTATATAGGGGAAAGTAGGCCATCAGGAATGAAACACATTAAAAATTCCTCTAAGTTGCTAGATATAAGACTAATATACAAAACATTTCTCTGTAGCAACCAAAAACAGAAAGTTAAAATTTTTTTGTGTTTTTTTTTAATCCTCACCCGAGGATATTTTTTTTTGTTGCTTTTTAGAGAGAGTGAAAAGAAGGGAGGAAGGGAGGAGAGAGAGAGACAAACATCAATGTAAGAGAGACACACCAACCAGTTGCCTCCCTCATGTTCCCTGATCAGAGCTGGGTATCAAACCTGCAACCCAGGTACAGCCCTTGACAGGGAATTGAACCCATGATCCTTCAGTCTGTGGGCTGATGCTCTAACCACACAGCAAAACCACCAGGGCAGAAAGTTAAATTTTAAGATACCATTGATAACAAAAATAAAATAATACGGTTCCTATAAGAAATAAATATAACAAAAGGTATATGAGTCTATTAAGATGTATAAAGAATACAGAAATAAATGAAGACCTATATAGTAAAACCTTAATACTTGGAGTGCGGGTGAATTTCCCGCCAAAATATAAGATGGCTCTGTCTTTTGGTTTTGTTCCATCCACCAAAAGGGTGGATTACAAACAAATATTTGGTAATACGCAGTTACAATCGGCCCGAGTTTACACGTTTCCCGCACTCCACCGCAAATCTATATGAACCGAGTTAAAGACGGCTCCCGCGGAGTACGCGCAATTCACGTGAGCCGACTTAACTCGTTTCCCGCACTCTTAATATATGGGTTAATTTGGGTGAGGGGGTGTCCATTAAACCTGAAAGTTTGTTACACAATAAAGTAGATTTTTCAAATATATGTTTAAAAATTGACAAATTAGTTAGTTTATCTGTTTTTACTTAGGGAGCTATGTTTGTGTAATGAAAATTAAGTATGTATGAAAAGTTTAATTTCACAGAAAAATTTTCTATATGTATTACAGTAATTTAAATTTATACTGAATAGCTCCAGTAAATGCATGCATTCACCAGTCACCACCAATAAACAGATGCACACAGCTGGGGCACGTAGGAACATCAGCCTGCACACATTAAAACTGCTGCAGAAAGTCACCCCAGGGACAAAAAACAATTACCATTCTCGATGTAGTGTGATCATATGCCAATCATTGCTGAACATTGTTTACCAGCAAGAACTCTTGGATTTAAACATGTACAGTTGTAGAATGTAATATTTATTTATGTCAGCGAAATTACTACAGTGTTTTTTCCAACATTTGCTAAAATTTGTCAAAAATAATGGTGAATTAATAACAAAAAAAGTTAATTTAATTATGAGCAAATCTTGGTTTAAAGGATTTTAAAATTAGCAGGGTGTTCATTTTTCCATATGACATAAGGACCAGACATTTTATACATTAAATTTGAAGTCTGCAAAATCAAGGGTTTACTGTATCATGTTCTTAGATGAGAAATATTAATATCTGAAAGATGTAATTCTATTTCAAGTCTCAGAAGGATCTTGAGGTCTGGAGACCTTAATAAGTTCTTTCTAAAATGTACATGGTGTAAGAAAGATGGGAGGAACAAACAGCAATATACTTTGGAACAATGCGAAAGCAGAGAAACTTGTTCTAAACAATGTCAAGACTTATTCTAAAATTGTGCCATTAAATGTATATAATATTAATGTGGGGTAAAGAGACCAACAGAAGAAAATGGAATGGCTAGAAGGCCACTGCAAATATAGAAACAGAGGTATGGTCTTACATCAGTGGACAAAGATTGAACTAGTCAGCAAATGATGCTGGGTCAATTAGCCTCATGGGAAAAAGTCAATTAAATTCCTACTTCGTTTCACATCCAAAAATAAATGTTGTATTTATGTAACCATTTCCCAACAGACTGGTATTATAAATAACTGGAATGAATATCCTTTTACCCAAATTTTTGTCTGTATTTCTGATTTCATTAAGTCAGACTATATTTATTTTTAAAATAGCTGATACATAATTTTAAATTGTCCTCCAGAAAGATTACACTGTAGGGTGGAGGCAAAGTAGGTTTACAGTTGTTTGAATGGAAAATAAAAGAATAATTAATAAATAATAATGCAAGAATAAACTCTGTGTTTCACATACTCACCACTGTAAACCCACATCTGCCCTGCCCTGTATTTTATATTACTACCAGCAGTATTTTAAATGTACCGCTCCCACTAGAGCTTGGCAACATTGACTGTTATTATGTTTAATCATTCTGATGTTAAGTAAAAGTTGCATTTACATTTTAATTTACCTTTTTAAAAACTTATAGTGCAAGTGAGTATTTTTTCGTATGAACACTAGCCATTTGGAAGTACCCTCACTTGTTTTTTTTTTAATTGGTTTGTATAAATTATTTATATGTTAAGGACATTAGTTTTTTTGTAAAAACTTTTCTCAGGACATTAGTTTTTTTGTAAAAACTTTTCTCGGTAGCTTATTTCCAATATATTTTATTTTGACATATTGAAGTTTATTTTCTTTTGGTTTTGGTTTTTCTTTTTATCGTTGGATCTAGGATTTTGCTTAGGATTTAAATAATATTTTTCTAAATAGTTACCAATATACCTGGATCAGTTAAAAAAAAATCTATCATATACCCGCTGATTTGTGATTTTTTAAAATCGTACATTAAGTTTTTAAATGTACTAGTCTAGCTCTGGGCTAGTTGTTCTTCTCTCTGTATCCAGTTCCACACCAGAATTCAGGGTAGGACTTTTGAATTAGTCTTAGCATAAGGGTTCTAATTACCATAAAAGGACACAGATTTATTTTTTGAAAAATTATTTACCTACTACATTTGTTGCAATATTCTAAGCTTTGTTAACTTTATATAGCAAATGACCAAACTTTTTTTTATTTCTTTTTAGTTCCTTTTTCTCTCTTTTATTTTTTTTTACCACTCTTGTGCTCACTCTCTCTCACTCTCTCAACGTTTTCCTT